GGTGAATAAGGTTACAAAAATCTTCTTAAATAAATGAAACTAGGAAATAATTATATACACACCTTCAGGTGCCTCTGAGTTATAGGTAAAGGTTTACAATCAAACTTCTTAAAATGTCTGCAGTGAAGTCATCATTTTTCTATTAATAATTTGACTTTGTTCTTATCCTCTCTCCCACTCTTGTAAAGTTTAAAAATGAACTTGCAACAACCTGACCATATCCTTTCTATTTTAAATCATTTTCCAATGAAGCTAGTACCACTTAAAAGAAGCGTATCATCATATCAAAATCCCACTCCCCGAAGTCTAATGGTTCAAATCTCCCCAGTAACCAAAATCCCCAGAGACTTTCATCCAATTTAACAACTATGTCTAATGAGAAATATATTTCTTCAATTATAAAACATCACAATTAGATAACAAATGCTGTGTACTGGAAGAAAAATTCCTGCCATAACAAAGAGGTACATTTACTGATTAAATGTTCTTTTATTCTCTCTTATTTTGAAATATTGGCTAACTGCCAAATAATTCCAGAGAGTTTCAGGAAATTATGAGAGAACATTTTTAACATAAAAACATTTAGCATTCAAATGGCCTGTCTATATAATGGTCTTCTGCTTTTTGGAATTGTAATCATTTACTTAACGTGAACATAACATGAAGTCATCGTTAAAAGGCCAATAAACCCAGCCGGCATGGCTCAGTGGTTGAGCGTCAACCTGTGAATCAAGAGGTAACAGCCAGGGCATGTGCCGGGTTGCGGGCTTGATCCCCGCGGGTGGCGTGCAGGAGGCAGAAGGAACTGATTCATGCCAATCGATGTTTCTCTCTCTCTCCCCCCCTCTCTGAAATCAATAAAAATATATATTTTTTAAAAAGCCAATGAAGCTTAGACAGTTCACCTTTTCTACAGACTCTGGAATCAAACTATATCTGCTTCAACACCACCATCCATAGCGAAGCCCAGCCTAGTGACCACTGTGAAAGCAAAAGTAATCTACAGAAGCAAGAAGATTATGGATAGGCAAAGTGTATTTAAAGAGTATTTGGATCTATGTCCAGAGTTTACAAGGAAACAAATATTAAAAGAGAAATTATTTTTTAAAAAATACTTGAAATTTTATTTTTCAATTAGAGTTTACAGTCAATATTATTTTGCATTAATTTCAGGTGTACAGAATAATGGTTAAATGACCATATACTTTACAATGTGTTCCCTCCATATTTCCAGTACCCACCTGCTACCACACAGTCAATACAATATTAATGACTATATTCCCTATGAAAAATTTGCTTTTATATGTGTTTCTCATTGCACATCTTTTTAGTTGCAGCCTTAAAATATTAGTAAGATTTCAATATCTAACAATACAAAAGTTAAGAAATCTAAAAAGAGGCACACGCTCAAAGGTGGATCAATAACTCAATAATCAAATACTCTCTTGGCTAAGGAAGGTATGAATCTTGGGGTAAGAGTGACCAAAGCCAGCTTAGTCGTTAGCCAATTGGCTAGCTTAGTCCCAGGAAAACACTTATTTCACCAAAGAGAATCTTTGACCTCTGTGGACTATGCCCCATACATCCCTACCAGAGGCCTGCACTGTTCCCAGCTTGCCATTACATAGGTGTCCTCACAGTGAAAAGCACACTCGTAACCTCTGATCCTTTTAGCAGCAGAAACAAGGCACTAGAGTATTTTAAAAGGCCTTTGGGGGAAGGATAAGCAAATCGCTGAAGTACTTGCTTCAGCGGAGAATATAAAACACCCAACTTCCTAGAGGCCTAATACAAAAAGGTATCTTTATCATGTTCAAATTCAAAAAGATAAAAAATCACACCTGACATAATTTTGTTACCTTTTGTTTTTAAAGTGTTCATGTCCTGCATATATAAATCAAATTGCTGTCACTTAAAATGTTAAAAGCTTTATACCTACATTCTTTAATTCACTGAACTTTTAAAAAATCAATTTTCATTTAATTTTCTGGCAAATTCCTGGCTTTAAGGAACTGATTCATCTCCTGACCCCAGAACTCTGACTTGCTGAGAAAGTTCATGATTCACACCTACTGTCTGCAAATGTACCTGTATTCCAAAAATGAGGAGTAACAGACTAACACTGGGCCTGTGGCCACAAGGACTCCCAAGGGCCACAGATCCAAACCTGGAAAGTACTGCTTCAGCTAAAAAGTGACTTTCTAACTAAGAAGTCTCCAAGGGCAGGATTTATAGTCAGTTTAGATAGTAAAAACTGTAAGAATTGTAACAAAAGCATGTAGTCATGGTGAAATGACCAAACTCCAGGTTTACCACCTGTTGTCCTTCGGCTTAATTATTAATATTCACCCCCTTTCACTCTCAAAAGGGTCCTGTTTTGAAGCAAAACTCATCAGTGGAGATAGAAGTCAGGGTGGTTGCCTTGGAGACCCAGGAAGGGTTCACTGAATGGGGGGAAGTGTAAAGGGAGCACTTTGGGAGGCTGGAAATGTTTACACCTTGATCTGAGTATGGTTATCATATGTAAAAAGTAAGTGAACTCGCCTCTTTTTTTTTAAAATGTTTTTATTGGGTTTTGTTTTGTTTTTTTGAGAGAGAGAGAGGAAGGGAGAAGAGAGAGAGAAACATCGACGGGATTGGCTGCCTCCTCCACGCCCCCTATTGGGGACCCAGCCCGGAAACCCAGGAATGGAACCAGCGACCTCCTGGTTCATGGATGGATGCTCAACCACGGAGCCTCACCAGCCAGGCTGTACTCTTAACAATCTTATTGTAAATTAGGCCTCAATTTAAAAATGTAAATAATTTAAAAAACAGACTGAAATACATTTTTAAGTGTCTTTGTTCAAACAATGACAAAAAGTCGCCCTAGATATAGCTGCCCAGATGTTTTTCCAAATGTATTTTAATAAAGATGCATACTGTGTGTGAACACTTTTATGTAGAACTTTTCAAAGTATAGACGGATTTTTTCATCTCTCATTTTAGCCGAGTTTTTGGAACTGAAAGCACACAGAAATAGAATCTATCCATCCTCTAATTCTGCAAATAAGGAAACCCATATCTCTAAAGGGTAAGAGACTACCCAAGATAAGGCAGCCAGTCAATGGCAACGATAGTAACAGCACTGTTTCCTGATTCGGGGCCACTCCCGTTTCCACCAGGCCGTTACTTTTCTGACACTGTAAACAAATCTGAACTGAATCTACCTGTCGCCTAGAGGATTTCACAGCTCTCTCAAAACACCGGGCCAGCAGGCCCCAAAGTGCACACACACACACACACACACACACAGGCGCACTCGTCTTCCTCCTCCCAAGGCAGCTGGTAAATACACAACTACATTTTCAGGCATTTTACTTCCGATGCAAAGTATGACACCTTTCACATGCAGCTCAACAAGACAATGCAGGGACTGGCAAAGTCCACCTTATTTCCTTTCAAATCTCGTTGATGGTGACTTGGTTCTCAAACTTCATCGCTGATATGTGGGGCTCAAGAAACATGGCTTGGGGCGGTTCACAAACACGGCTGTCAGTGTCGACCCCGGGAATCACCCCACTGAACACACAAACCCCGCCGTCTCTGGCAGGACGGCCCGGCCCACTCCCAGCACCTTACAAGACCTGTGCTTTACGCTTAGTTTTAGACCCCAGCGAACAGCTGACATCTTGCGAAAAACTTAACATAACCTCCATCCTTTCCGCGGGAATTTATTTCTGTTCTCGGAAGGCGTTTCTGCTCCCCACAGAGCAGGCCCAGCTGCTCGGGGCACTGATCGCCTCTCCACAGCCTCCTTTTCAGTCTCCAAAGCGAGACTTCAAGAACAGAAATCGAAACGGTCACGGACTCCCGAGTGGCCGGTCGGGGCCCGGGC